GGCGCCTGTTCGCCTCCGGTGTCCTGCGGCCCGCGTGTGGGGAGCCTGCACCGGGCGTCTGTCCGGCTCCCGCTGCGCGCCCTCGGCGGTGCTGGGCGCTCATCCCCCTCCACCCCGGACCTGGCCGCTCGCCCCTGCCCAGGCTGGACACGAGTCCTGGCCCAGTGCGTCCCCCGCCAGCCGGGCCCCCCTCCGCCAGGTCTGCTTGGTCTCTGTTGGTGGCGCAGAGGTCCAGCGCCTAGAACGCTCCTCCAGGTAGAGACAGATGCAGGGGCGGCCCTGCGTCCTCATTAGAGCCCAGCGCAGCCCAGCCCAGCGCAGCCCTGCCTAGCCCTGCCTGCCTGCCTCCTGTCCCCGCCGCATGTTAGAGCGAGCTCCGCCAATCCAGCCCCTTCCCTGGTGATTTGCGGGCCGTCCTCGTAATGAAGTTAAATACAACTCCACGTGGCACTGAGCTGAACTCCGATGTCCAGTGCAGGACATGAGTTGTCTCAGCTCGCTGCAGAGTGACTGAGTGGCTGCTACTCCACCCACAGGCCCAGGGCCCCACTCGGAGCAGCTGTCTGCACAGGGACCCAGGGCCCAAAGCCACACCTGGTGTGTGCGGTCAGAAGAAAACTGCGACTGTCCCAGTGGGTAGCAGAGGCGGGAGACTGACCGTAGTGAACTAAGGTCATTGTTTTCAGGTTTATATGTCTGTTTGTTTGTTTGTTTTGAGAGAGGCTCTCAAGTGAAGCCCAGGCAGGCCCTGAACTGACGCCATCCTCTTGCCTCAGCCCCTGCATCTGAGTGCTGGGATTATAGGTGTGCACCACCATGTCTGGTTTAGGCTTTCATTAAAAAAGAAAACTCCTAAGTTCTCAGCAAGGCTTCATAGAGGTTCACCAGGACTGGGACAGACACCTGTGGGTGGTGCCCTGGCTGGCCACCTCCGCCTGTGCCCAGCTGCTGCCTGTCCTGTTGGCATCCTGCTCTGGCCCATGTCCCTCAGTTTTGAACATACTTGAATCTTCTTGACAAAGCCAGTGAGTGCTCTTTTTGGGGGGAGTGGAGAACAGAGCTCAGAGGGGAACCCCATTGTGGGATGGAGGCCTGGAGTCATTTGTGTCCCTCCTTGGCATGGCCTGCTTTTCCCATTGCTGGAGCCCACCTTCTGGCATCCCTGAGTGGGGGAACTCCCCGCTGGAGGCTGTCACCCAGGGGGCCACTTCTCTGGTCACCTGGGCCACCCTGTAGCTCAGCCGTGCATGAGCCCTATGTGCCCACCTGCTCCCCTTTTCTAGGCCCTGTGTGATAGGTGTGTGTGTGGTGGGAGTAGGACTGAGGGCCCCAGGCACCCCTTCCTGGCTGGGGAGGGTGGGAACAAAGGGAGCTCCCAGGCATTGCTCCTGGGTCTGCAGGGTTGGCTAGGTGGACAGACACACAGACACTACTCTGCTGTCAGGCCACCAGGGGAGTCTTGTTTCATTAAAAAATAAATGGCTCTGTGGAACCCTTCACTTCTGGAAGGTGCCAGGTGGCCAAGTGGTATTTCCGGCCAGCCTGGCAGGCTTGGAAAACAGACAGTGGTTCTGGGACGTCATTTCCCTTTTAGGCTGAGTAGCCCCAGAGCTGGCTCAGTGCCCTGCGTGAAAATTTTTTTTTTCAGACAGGGTCTTGCTATGCAGTTCAGGCTGGTCTTGAACTCATTTTGTAGCCCATGCTGGCCTGAAACTCACAACAATTCTCCTGCCTCAGCCTCCTGAGTGCTGGGATTACAGTCGAGCAAAAACTTTTTGATCAGTTCACAATGTATTTCCAGGTGATAGGAAACCCAAGTGAGCTGCTGCTGCTGGACTTGTGTGCACTGTGAATGATAGGAAAGTGAAATTCCGGGAGTGGTCCTGCTGTTCTCTGTGGGCCTTGTATGAGCCCTGGTTGCCCTGACCTCCAGCTCCAGGAGAGGCTGAGCCCCACACTCCAGGGAGGACTGCTCCGTCCCTTTCGCGCCACGCCAGCGCAGCAGCGGCCCGCTGTCCGCAGCACAGGCTGCGCGCCGCAGTGTTCCTGCTGGCTGCCCAGGCCCTGTCCTGCTTTGGTGTATTTACCAGTGCTGTGTGTAGCTTGTATAGCCTGTGGGTGGGGTTCTTACAGCTGTGGGAGAGCAATTTTAAAACAGATGGATTTCCTCCTAGATGTATCAAGCAAGCTTTTTTCTTGGCATTAACCTGGAGGACTCCAGCCTTGCACTGTGTCTCCTACACGTGGGTACTTAGCGAATGGAGTTAAAAATAAATTCAGTATAAAAATAAAACAGTCACATGAGTGACTCCGAATTGCCAGAGAATTTTAAGAAATAGGTTGGTTCTAACGACCTTAAGAAAACCCCCACGGGTGACCTGAAGGCTCAGTGTGAGGCTGGTGATCGACAATCTCTGTTTCCATATGTTGCAGGAGGGTGTGAAGACAGAGAATGACCACATCAATCTGAAGGTGGCGGGGCAGGACGGCTCGGTGGTGCAGTTCAAGATCAAGAGGCACACCCCACTGAGCAAGCTGATGAAGGCCTACTGCGAGAGGCAGGTGCGCAGCTGGGCCACTGGCCTATCCCCGGATGTCACTGCTGGGTGGGCTGCTCTTCAGAGACCATACTAAGCCTGGTACTGCCTGCTGTTGGGGTCCCTGCTTAGATCTGTGACTTTCTCAGGAGTGGCAAATGGTGCATTGTAGTTTCTCCTTCTGTGTTTTTCAGAATATGCCTCTGGAGACACTGTCCTTGTTGATGCTTCGGTTTTCTCTGTTGCCTAGGAAAGGGAAGAAAATGCCTGGTTTTCCTGTATTTACTGGATTTCAGAATAGCAAAGGACCAGTTAGATTGGTAGTTTCTAGTTGGTGCTGACAGTGTCCTGTGAGCTCATGGGTCCCACGTGTTATACTTCGGTCCATCTGTCTATTTTGTTCTCACTGGGGTCCATGTGGTGGCCCCTTTGGCAAGCGGTCCCCCCGTCCACATTGGCACACCGTCTCCACTGTCCCCCAGCTGTGGCAACAGCAGGTGGTGCTCTCTGTCTTTAGGATGGAACCAGAGTGCTAGGCTGGTCTCCTCTGCCCTTGATTGGCTTGGTCTGCTTTTGCTGTTTGTGTTCGCGGGTGTGCATCACTAATTGGTCACCCCATCTCCATTATCTCCTGCCTGGGGGTACATGATGCCACCGCTGGGCATCTCTGCTTCCCAGGGTCCCTCTGGGAGCCTGCCTCTTGCAGCCTTTGGATGAGTCTCACCCTTTGTGGTGGCATAGCCTCTCGGATCTCATCAGAAAAAGGATAGCTGAAAATGGCCTTCATACTTGAGTGTTTGGCTACATGTAGCCTCCCAAGTTGCAATCCATTTTCTTCTATGGAAGTTATTGTGGTTTTTTGTGTGAGTGTGCTTTTCTTTTCAGTATTGGGATTGAAGCCAGGGCTTTCCCACTGAGCTACATCCTCAGCCCTTTTTTATTTTTTGAGACACAGTCTTGATAAGTCATTAAATTTCCCTCGCTGGGCTGATACTTATGGTCCTCCTGCCTCAGCCTCCTGAGTGCTGGGATTACAGGTGTGTGCCACTGTGCCTGGTGGCATTCTGATTCTCTGTTGGAAAGCCTCAGGGGCTGTCTCCTGGCACTGGCCAGCTGAGGTTCCACACCAGGTGCTCGCCTTCTGTCTAGAAACTTATTTTCAGTTTCGGAAATGTGATTCTATGAGTTCTCTGACAACCTGTGTCCTTTTGTAGTTTCTGTTCCCTCTTTTTGGAATTTCTAGTCCTCCTAGAGTTGACTGTCTTCAGTGTTTTCATCTTTGATAGTTTTTTCCGTTTTTCATCGGGTTTTATTTTTGCTTTGGTCTCCTTTCTAGGAATTTTTCCTGTTTTTGTTGAGACAGGGCCTTGCTGTGTAGTCCAGGCTGGCCTGGAACTTGCAGCTCCTGCCTCAGCCTCTGGAGTACTGGGGTTGTAGATGTGCACCACCTCACTTTGCTGGCCATTCCCACTTCTGTGGTGATTTTTAACTTACAAGTCTTTCCCCCTGTTTTTCTGAGTTTTCTTTCTTTCCCAGAGGCAACTTGTTTTCTGGCTCTGTGTGTGTGTGTGTGTTTACTTAAGAGCTCTGAGTGTGCACGTGTACAAGTGTGTGTGTATGTGTGCATATACGCGTGTGTTTAAACTGCTGTCCTTCCTTCCTGTCTCACTTCCCTTTCCTCCTTTTCTGATCTGACCTCATGTTGGCATCTTCCCTTCAGTGTTCTTGGCTCCTTGTGTGTGAGGATGGTGCCCTGTGAGGGTGAGTGTGTTGGCAGAGGCTGCCTGACCAGGACTGGTCAGACACTTGTTGGGGGGCCCAGACACTGTAATCTGAGAACTGCCGAGCTTCCATGCTCCATCCACCAAGTGTCCGGGAAGTGAGCTGGAGGGTTGAGGGGGTGGGGATGGGGCTGGCTTTTTTCCTTGCTTTTGGTGGGCCACTTGTCCCTGGTATGTCCTGAGCCTAGAGCTCCAGGAAGTAGATGTGTCATTTGCTACCAGCAAGGGATGGGTGCCTGGAGTTGGGGTGCTGGCTGGCTTGGGGGTGTGGCTGTGAACTTTGAAGCAGGCATCCTGTGTCCCTGCTTCCCTGGCTCCGATGTTCTTGGCCTCTCCACCCCAGCCTGTGCCTGTTGGCCCGTGCATCCTAGGTTCCAGGGTCCAGTGCCCAGAGCACAGCCTTTGTCTGCCGGCCCCTACTTTCCGTTGGCTTTGTTCCTGGGGTGTGTGTGTGTGTTATCATTTATGTCACTTCTGGATAGGACGCAGGGATGCTGTTTTAACCCTGCTGATTGATAAACAGGTGTCTCTGCCCAGCCACATTCACCTGCCCCTCGGACAGGAGGAGATGGGATCTGGTCTTCTTTTGGATGGAAAGCGCTGCTGCTTTCTGCTGCCGTCCTGTGGCTTCCTTTACCTCGTCCCTTGTCCCTCACTGTCACGTGACCTGTTTCTCTTCAGGAACTTCCTGAGGGAAACGGGTTGTACTAGCCACGTAGAAGTCGTGCTGGCTTCTGGGAGGAGAGGGAGTTGGGGCAGGCAGGGTGCGGGAGTGGAGTGAGATGTCAGGAAGGCAGCTTCTGAGAGCGCTGACATAGGCTGTGTGCTACAGTAAGTATGTCTGCTGGATCATACGTGTATATTGCAAATTCTGGTATTTTGCTTCTTGATTTTTTTTTTTTTTTAATTCAGTTGTGAGGATTTAACAGTAATTTTGCTTTCTTTCCAGGGCTTGTCAATGAGACAGATTAGATTCAGGTTTGATGGTCAACCCATTAATGAAACAGACACTCCAGCGCAGGTATGTAGCTGGCTCCGTGTCCAGGGCTGGCCCCAGTGGGCATCCACAGAGTTGCCACGTGGGATGGACTTGAGAGTTTTTGATGGGTGCACACAGATAATGCCTTATGGTTTTTTTTTTTGAAGAGTGTTTTTAACAGGGATTTTTTGTCCAGTTTTTACTGTTAGTCCATGTTTGTAGCACATAATGATCACATTCCTCGTGTGTGCACGTGTCACATCTGAATTCTTTGCTCTCATCCCCTTCTCTGCTGTCCCTTCCCCCTCCCTCCATCTCTTGGTTCCCCTCTCATTTCTAAAAGATCTCTCTCCCTGTTTCCCACTTCTGATTTTTTTTTTTTGGTGCCAGGAATCGAACTCAGGACCTTGCACTTGCCAGGCAGGCACTGTCCCACTTGAGCTATATTCCCAGCTCTCACTTCAGGTTTTTATTTTGCTCATTATTTATATTTTGGGTTTATCATATAAGAGGAAACCATATAACATTTAAGCTTGTGTCTTATATTTTCTTTT